AACCTCTAATGCTCGTGAATGAATCTCACATGTTTTGTCTCATAATCTCGGCTTGATTATTCTAAAGTTCTGTTATTCATTTCAAGTCCAGAGTTACCCCACAATATTAAAATGGAAAGAAGGGGGATGTAAGAGCTGCAACACCGCCTTTTTAAAAAAAAAAAAAAATGCGTGTCGACGATACACGGTCAGCATTTTAGGACAGATGATTAATTCTCCGACACGTTCTGACACATTTTTTTGATACGCAATCAACTTTTTTCGACATGTGGTTAACGTTCCGACACTTTTTTTTTTGTCTTAATTTTTTTTATTAACTAAAAATAAAAAAAAATCATTTATAAATCAATATATTTCTGTTATGAAATTTGACATGAAAAATTAACAAGGTACAAATTTTTTTTTTATATTTTTATGTTATAAAGTTTGAATATTTGATTGGTTATATGACTTATTATGGACTGTTAATGTATTACATATAAATTATATTATATATATTAAAATTATTATTTAATATCAAAACGTGTCGAAATATGCCATTTTTTAATATTAACGTATTGGCGTGTTGTGTTCCGTTTCAGTATCCGTGCATCATTGGATGTAAGTATTGAAAATCCTAGTTTGAGTGTTACTGTGTCACATTGGTTAAAAATAGATTAGAGGATTATATAAGTGGAAAAAATCATAAATTTAATTTCTTAAGATTTTGAAATAAGATTTGAAGTTGAATCCAATTATTGTTATAAATTGTGCTTGGCCTATGGATAATAATTTACCCTTACCTTTGGATTCCTTTGACAATAAAAAGAGAGACGCAAAAAGATTGTGCAACCCATAAAAAAGAAGCCTAATTACCGTGCTAGGGATTACTTTGATTCTTATAAAGGTTTTATAAGAGTTATGTTGTAGGAAAAGTGATTGTGTAATGTTATAGAGATTCGTTTTGCGTACCGTAATTTTCTTTTTTCTTCAAAAAGTGTGGGCTTCACAAAATGTTGTGTGTGTAGGAAAGTTTGTTGTGTCATGTTAAATGACAAATGCAAATCCCTTCTTATAATTATAAGTTAAGTTAAAGTTTTAATTTTCATTCTTATTATTCACCCTACGTAATTCACCGTGGTAGAGGGATTACTTTGGTAGAGATTTGAGGAAAGCTAAAATGTTTATTCTAAGCCAATGTCATATATCCAATTTAATAAGAACAAAAACATTTTAATAAGCTTTGATAAAATGTAATTAAGAGTTGAGACTTGAAAGAAAATAATAGGAAAGGACAAATATATCAACACTGCTAGTAATGGCAAGTTCATTTGATTTTTGGGCGAATTCCAAAAGTTGGAAGAGAGAGTCATGCCACTATTTATTGTTGGAAGAAGGAACATAATTACAGGCCGGCAAGCCCGTGTCAAACTATATTCATTGAAGCACCATATCTTCAACTTTTGGTCGAAAAGGTTATCACATTACCTCTGAATTGAAAGGTATTCTTTTTGACCATTTGTTGTTCTTTGCTCATATGAGTTCAAGTATCTTTCCTCATAAATGAATATAGACACTATTCAGTCCAAGTCACCTGGACTGGGTGGGTGATTGGGGTTGAATCTCCTTTGGTGGTGGAGGGTGGCTTCTTTTGTATGCCTTTAGACAATGGTGTCATTGGTGTGTTATCCGTATGAACTCCAACTCTAGCTAAACTAGCAAATGTTTAAATATTTGAGATGGAGAATATGTACATGATATGTTGAGTCTTTGTATATATTCATAACATGTTGGAGACCTAATTAGACGCTGGTGTAACATAATTTAGCAAATGGATATTAAAACCATAGTAGGACAAGTTGTATATAAAAATACAATTTAACCCCAAAACTTAAATCTTTAGGAAAATATCATATTAATAATTTTATATTATTTTTGTAACACACTCCCTTACACAAGAATTCATTGAATTTGAAAGATGGATAATACACAAGTCCCACTTGTAACCACTTGCCTCTTACTTATGCTAAAATTTTTCATAATATTTAATTATTTATTAATAAAATAGGTGTAATGAGGATTGAACTAGTAACTACTTGGTCATGGACTCTGATACTATATATAAAAAAAAATTCAATCCAAAAAATTTAAACAAAAACCACATTAATAATTTTATATTATATTTTTTTAAACAAATCACTTAGATACAAGCATATGCCTAAATAAGGAGTGAATTTTGGATACCACCGCCATAGGTACACTCTTTCCTCATTCAGAAAATAATCAGGGTATAAAGATAAATAAATAAAAAATACAAGATACATATAATATTAAAATTTTCTTATTTTGGAAAGATAAGGTATTGAATTCAGTATCACCGTGGTATTCAAAAATTTTCCCTAAATAAGTGATTAGACTTGCAACAAATACAAGAGCAAGTTAGTATTGCTCTTTTTAAGTTTTGCTCGCGGGACTTGCTTGTTCAAGCGAGCATATCCACGAGCTCTCCCCCTCTCCTGCTCAGACAGTGACTACTGTCTCCAGTTTAATTAGCTTGTAGAACTGCTCGCTCAGATATGATTGACTTTGGTGGTAAAGATGGAGAACAGACACAAATGAGTCCATGCATACAACAAAAAAAATAAAAATTGTAAGAGATTATGTATACTGAAGCAACATTTTTAAGTTGTTATTGATTGTAATTAGGATTGTCTTTTTTCATATTGCATAGGAGAAGAGCTATCTCCTACACACACATAGAGAAGAGAGAGGAGAGAGAATAAGGAAGAGAAATAAAATTTAAAATGGGTCTCATATTTACTTTGTGTCTTATGCATAAGATAACAATCTTATGTAACATAAGATTATTATTTCCCTTATAATTATTATGTACACAACAGCTGGTGTAGTAGCAATATCATGTTAAGGTCACAAATTCTGTTCATACAATAAGCTTTTTGCAAGTCCGTTCCAAAGGATAAAAAGTCTTTAAGCATTATTATGTAGAGGAGGATAATGGGAGGGACAAGGAGCAAAAGCCAGCAACAAGTGAAGCTGATAGTATCCTCAACAATCCTAAGGACTAGAGCATAAGAGTCTTATAACCCTTAAGAAGGGCTTAAGACAAAGGAAAGTATAGTATAGTCCTTACAAAGTTGGAAAAGAGTCATGCCACCATTTATTGTTGGATAAAGGGACATTAATTACAAGAGTAGCATGATCACATCCCTGGTCAAACTAGATTTCGTTCAAGCACCAAATCATCAATTTTTAGTTGAAAAAAAGTTATCAGTCATGTGGAACGCATTACCTGATGCAGCTGCAATATTCCAATTTTGGCAGTGACCCGCAACGTCATCATCATGCTGTTGTGAGGATGGAGAGAGCAGAGCAGAGCAGAGGATGGCTACATGGTTGTAGTGGAGAGGAGACCAATTGAGGAAGACATTAGACATGGACTAATTGTGTTGTGTGTTACCGTGTAATGAGCAATAGTGGATAAATTATCCACACATCAAAGATAGAAACACATAGGACAGGAGTGACATTAAAAATGACTTACATAACCACCAAGCACGTGAAATGAGTATGGATGTTACAAGAAATGAAAAAAAAAAATTCAACATAGACAAACCATGATGTGTGGCCCGTTAATATATTTTTTTCTCTCCTTGTATTGTGGGACCCATACTGAATATTGTCTCTGCATGAAATTTTTTTCATTTCCTATAACATGACCGATTCACTTCACATATAAGATTGAAATTTAAGGGTTGGAATTTTTATTAGAAAATGGAGATGGTCATGATTAAACTTATGACCGTGTATTACAGATTTTGATATCATATAAAGAATAAAAAAGTAATAAGTTCAAAAATTTAGTCTGTTCAAATAAATGGTTTTATATATTATATTTTTAATAGGAAGAATTTTTCTTAAAAAAATAAAATAATTTGGAGAAAGATCGTGAAAAAATTAGGAAAATAGAAGCAATTTCAATATAAATAAGTTAATCAATAATGTCGATGAGTATACTAATTTTAGAATAATTTTGAAAATAATTATAAAAATATTTAATTAAGATATTATGTTATAGACTTATATATGTTTCAAAAGCCTATTTATAATTAATATTAATAATTATGTTATTTTCCTTTTAAATTTAATTTAAATTATAGATTGAAATGGTACAAAATTTACAAAATAAATAAAAATTTGTATAATATTATAAATAAAAAATATAAATTTATTATTACAGCAATTATATAATTATGTACACAAACGTTGACTCTTTTAACATCACAACAGCATGTAGCACGGCAACAACAATGCTCGCAATCATATAGTCTCATGACCAGAATTTAGAACCATGGTTGCCACGTTAGCTCCAAATGGAAAGGTATTCTTTTTTACCATTTCTTGTTTTTGCTTGCTCCCATGAGCATAGACATAAATAAGTCCATTCAACTGTAAAAAGAAAGAGTAAATACTTTTTGATTCCATAACAAAAATACGGTCTCTACTTTAGATTTTTATAAAAAAAAATTAGTCAGTTAATCCTTAACAAATTCAAAGTGGACTTATTTTAGTCCTTTTGAGGGACAAATATGGGTCTTTTTTAAAATTATGAGGGACCACGATTTTAACTAAATGGGTCTACTTTAAATTTATTAGGGACTAACTGATTAATTTTTTTTTGTAAAAGACTAAAGTGGAGATCCTATTTTGTGTTAGGGAGCAAAAATGATATTTACTCACAAAGAAAAAATCTTGTGAGAGATTCTGTAAACTGAAGCAACTTCTTAATTCATATATACTTGTAAGCAGCACGTACACGATAATATACGCATCGAACAAAGGAGCAAAAGCCAGCAACTCTATGCTATACACTCCTTACAATTACATCATCATACATAGTCTTCATTAAAGCCCCTCCTAACAAGTAACAACCCCTCATTTGGGTTCAAATACCAACAAAGGAAAACAAATTGAGAAATTAAAAAAAAAAAAAAAAAACTCTCCATTAATAATAACATGATTTTTGAAAGCCATATATTTGCACAAATTAAAAAGACCGCTAGATATGCAATAGCAAACAATATTAATATCCTATACATATATCCTTAATTTGGTTCAGGGTTCAGGGTTGGTCGGGGCTTTTCTGCATCCAAATGGTAGAAAGTGGTTTATCCTTTGTCCAATTCCTTAGCCTAAGAAGCACATAAACAACCATTCCACACAAAAAGCCAAGAGCTGCACTTGACCCAACCAATGAAACTGCAGTGATAATAAGGGTCACAAAGGAATCTTCTTTGCTATTCATGTCCCTAGCGCACATGGCCAGTTCAATCCCAGCAAACAGAAGCAACACACCCAATATTCCCACTGGAAACTGGTTCAAAATGTGTGCCAAAGAAGTCCCTAACACCAACCCCAATACCAATTTTGCTGCACCAAGAAGTGCCACACAAGCACCACTTCTTCCACCAAATTTATACTGTCCTGCAAGTCCACCAGCCCCATGGCACATTGGTAAAGCACCAAACCAACTACCCACCAAGTTCATCAACCCCACTGTCACTGACAGTGATGTTGCAGAAAATTCCCTTCCTGGGAACAAATCAGATGACAATTTACAAACAGCTACCACAGAGTTCAGAATTGATAACGGTAGTTGAGGAATTGCACCCTTTATAAAACCCTTCTTCCATGCTTCCCTAGAGAATTTCACCACGTGTATGGAGGATGGTCCAAACTTGATTTGATGCACCACATGATGATTCCTTATGAAGAGCAAAACAACACCCAATACAAAGACCATGAAAGCAGAAGGAAGTGAGAAAATAATCTTCCTCACTCTGCTTGTCCTATTTTCATTCCTCCTCCTTTGGCCACCCAAATCATCACTTTCTGCAGGGGCACAACACTCACGGTTCTGTTCACCAGCACCATTCACTATGACAATAAAACAAGCACAAACAATGGCCAAAACAAGACCATCCAACCCAAGCCAATGCCTATGACCCAAAGATTTAGACTTTGGCAAATCTTGAATGTTCCTCACATATCTAACAGCTGTGAAAGCAAATGACAAACCCTGTCCAAGTTGAATTCCCCTCACGACAGATAAAGGTATCAACTTGTACACAACCTGCATCAACCCGGTCACACCCAGAACGAACAAAGTGCCACCGGTTAATATTCCGGCAGCCATGATCTCCGGCACACCGAAGTTGGGGTCCGATATGGATGCGGCGGCGATGGCCTTCATGGGCTGAACAGGCATAGGGACACCATAAATAGCACCAGTGATGATGTTGTATACACCTGTGAAAATCAATGTGGTTCCGAGGTTAAGGTCCCTGGCTAGTGTAAGAGCAAGAACTATAGGTATGTAAGTGCCAAGGTCACCCATGGCACCATTTAATTCACCCCATTTTGAACGGAAAATCAAGTTGGTTCTCACTTTCTGAACCACCCCTTTTGCTGAGAATTTTGTGGCTGGTGGGTTAGTAGGAATAGGATTGATTTGGGGTGCTTCAGGATCTGAGATTGGAATTGAAGGAGGGTTTTGGTATGCCATGGAAACAAAACAAACGTCAAACAATAATGTTTCAAATGTTTGTTGCAAAAAAGAGCTTCTTAGGTAGTTAAGCTATTGGAGGAGTGAATGTGAATTGGAATGGGGAAATGAGAATTTGTTTGTCTTTTTATAGGGGTTGTAAAGTCAATGTTAGGAGGGAACAACTTGTTGTCGTTTACTTATGCAATGAAAACGTAACAAATAAAGCCTTTGACGATATGTTGTACAGTTTTTTAATCTTACATTACATGCATAAAGTGCGATTATACACGCTAATCAATATCATATTGCCGGTTAATTATTGTTGATTCTGTTGATTAGGATATAAAAAAAATGATAAAGCGGTCATCACGATTTTTTGTTTATGTTAACTCTTAGGTGGTGTTTGGTTGAAAGAAGATTTTTATGAATAATAGGGAAATGAGATTAGTAGGGAAATGGCTGGAAAATGAGTTGGATAGGAAAATGTAAAAAAAGTTGTTTGGTATGAAAAAAATTTACTGGAGAAATTATGTAACTTTTGTAAAGTCTATGTTTGACTTTTGATAAAATATAGAGGGAGAAATAATGTGTCATGACGAAAATACTCCTGTTTTTATAAAATTTACAACCAAACAACCAAAACAAATTACAACTCGTACGCCCCGTCTGCAACGCTACCTGGAAAGTCGTCTGCAACCAAAACAAATTACAACTCGTATGCTCCGTCTGCAACGCTACCTGGAAAGCTGGGTTTCTTTGAAAAAACCACCTCCTGCAATGGTTTTTAAACAGTGCAGAAGCATAGGTAAATGTCAGTAAATTGAAAATGGTATGCATCCATTTTTCCTGGGTGTTCAGCCAAATCTCCGTGAACCAAACGTTGACTTTCCAAAATGTTATCTTCATTTGCACGGGGTTTTTTCAAAAACCCATTAACCAAACACCACCTTAGTTTTATTACTAAACAAATTCAGCCAAAAAGAAAGTCAATAGTTCCTTGCCACTTAAAAATATAGCAAGTTGTGAAAAAGTTAGATACTTAGATGTGGATAGAAATAGAATATGAGGACTTGAATCTCATACTCAAAAAAAAAAAAATTACATGAGGAATATTTTCTAATTTTATATAATAGTACTTTTTTAGTTTAATTTCAAATTAATTACCCATTAATAAAAAAAAGTAAATTTATGAACCAATTTATAACGCAAAATTAAAATCTGAACATTTTTTATAATGACATGAGAAATAGATAGGAAGAATAAAGTATTCAAACTAATAATTGACATGTATCTTATATGTGTCAAGTTAGGAATGTGTCTGTTCCTAAAAATTGTGTTGTCGTAACTCTAATTAACCCCTTTCGAAGTACTTGCAACAATTGTTGTAAACACAATGATAAAAATCCCAGCAGTGAATGAATTGCCAAAATGAAATCCAAACTAATCCCATTTAGAGATTCAAATAATTTGTTTTATGTATAGTTTTTTTTTTTGATGAATATAGATTTTTTTATGGATCACAAAACTCATTTTGACACCATAAGCAACAACAAGTGGTGTGTATCCTATCTAAATACATGATGTTGCCTATCATTTTCGCAAAAGTCAACAATAATACAACAGGCCGGCATTTGATTGTGATTCCACGAAACCTATTTGCAACTCAATAAACTTAGAATTTTTTTTCTATGTGAATCCTTTCATCTTAATTTGATGTGAGACGTACGAACACCAAATTAATAACTAAATAAATTAAGGAAAAATATTCTCAGCATGAGATAAATTTTTCCTCTTACAAATTCTTCGATAACTGTGTCATTTTTTTATTTTTTTTTATTTTTATTTTTCAGGTGATGGAGTCCACAAGTTTATCTCTATAACAAAGGATGACTTATCTCTTTTAATATGAGATTAATAAAACCCTTAAATTAATGATTGTTTTAGTTAAAAAGAGTTCAACTTCAATCAAGAAAAAAAAAATGACAATCGTTATCAATATCAGTGTAACTACACAGAGATTGGAGAGAATATTCATGGTCCAATGCCCAATCATTGTTATCAGAGAATATTCATGGTCCAATGTCCAATTATTATTGCGGAAAATTATAGCGATGGGTTTATTTTGGTATTTCATTTTTTTTTAAATCATGTTTTTAAAAAATTACAAATTAAGTAATAAAAATTATTGATTAGAAAAAAATTATAATAAAGTTTTTAATTTTATAAGTTTGTAACTTTTATTACTTACCTAATTAGTAACATTTTATATAAGGTTTATATTTAAAAAATAGTAACACAAACCTATATCATGAGTTTTTAACCCTTTTGCCCCTAATTAAATAATTAATAACCAATTTGCCCCTCCCCCAGAACTATCCACCATCCTGCCCTCATTTAGTCGATTAAGTTGCACTTTTAATCGACTAAATGGGCTAAACTCAGAAATTATGAAACGCGAATTTTAGTCGACTAAAAACTCACCTTAATCGACTAAATTGTTTGCACTTTTAGTCGACTAAGCACATTATTTAGTCGACTAAAGATCGCGAAAAACCCTATATCCAGACCTCTCTTGGCCTCATTTTCAAAATATTCGAAATCATAACTCCTCTCTTGGTCTCTTTCTCTTGTTTGTCAGCTGGGAACCTTCCAATCACCCTTCCATTTCATCCCACCACCTCTAAGGCATAGTAATTGTGAAATCATTGTCATTTTCCTTTATTTCTCAATTGTTTCCCCCAAATCTGAACCCTAACCCCTAAAATCTGATTCCTATCCCCAAAATTCGTGTGAAAGATGAGCTCAAGTCCAAACATGTATGTTACCATGATTTACTATGATGGAAAGCATTATGAAGGCCCCAACGGTGTTCAATTTGAAGGAAGAACGAAAATGTTGAAAATCAAACGGGGCACTACGTACAATGAGCTGAAGGGGAGGATTAACCAAAAATTGGGGCTACACGGCAGCCATGACATTCAACGGATGATATGCGATTTCTCAAGTGTGAACCAACAAACTTAGCACCCTACCCTAAGCCTAACCTAACCTAACCTAACCTAACCACATCAACCCTAACCCTCACCCTCACAACAAACTTAGCACCCTACCCCTAACCTAAATCCACAAAACCGCAAACAGAAATCAAATGCATGGAGAAAACAAAAAAAAAAACTAAACTTAAAACCAAATGCAAGTCAGAATACGTTACCTAAATGTCGATTTCTCAAGTGTGAACCAAGGAAGCTTCAATCGCACCTTCAAGGGTTGAGATTCAGACTTGGTTGGAGAGAGGGGACGGAATGCAGCGATTTAGTTGATTAGGGTTTGAAAATAACCCCCTTTGCGAAATGGGAGAGTTTTTAAAAAACCTGATCTGCGACATTTAGTCGACTAAATAATGTGCTTAGTCGACTAAAAGTGCAAACAATTTAGTCGATTAAGGTGAGTTTTTAGTCGACTAAAATTCGCGTTTCATAATTTCTGAGTTTAGCCCATTTAGTCGATTAAAAGTGCAACTTAGTCGACTAAATGGGGGCAGGATGTTGGATAGTTCTGGGGGAGGGGCAAATTGGTTATTAATTATTTAATTAGGGGCAAAAGGGTCAAAAACCCCCTATATCATCATCTAAATCTTTCTTACTTTTTTTTTTTGGTAAATAAAATCTTCCTTAATATTTACCAAAAAAAAAAAAATCTTCCTTACTTTACTTTTTGCGGTTTTGCCTGCTTTTACATAATTAAGAATTTTTTTTTTAAAAGAAACCTAATAAAGAAAAGCTTCTTTTAAGAAATACAAAGTACTAGACATGATGAGTATTTTAAGAATTTTGATTATATTATATTTTTAAGTTAATAATTTTTTATTTTTTATATTTAAAATGTATCAATATTAAAAATATATTTAATTAGTTAATTAATTAAAATATATTTACCATTTTTTACCAAAATTATTTATTTTAAAATTCCCTTTGACTAGGATTTATGATCAAAAAATATAAATAGAATTCAAAAATCAAAAGATAGATGACAATACTAAAACTCAAAGAAAGAGAAACTATATTTAAAGAAAGGGAAAAACAACTATGTTGCTCGAGAGTATTTTTCCCTCCTACAGACTCATTGAAAATTGAACTGACATTTTATTTTTATTTTTATTTTTTTAAGTAGTGAATTTTATCATTGTATCTGTAATAAGAGATATTTTCTCTCCTGCTACATGAGAGTCGACGAGCCCTTAAAAAAAGATATGTGGCATTCAAATAAAGAGGATAGCATAACAAACAAAGTATGAGTTTGGAAAAAGTTTTAAAAAAAAAAAAATATTTTCAAAGTTACTCTTCCGAACTAAAAAAAATTAGTAAAATTGAATTTATTTATTTTATTTAGATAAATTGAATTTTTTAACTTAAAAAAAAACTTATATAATTATCGTAAAGAGAAATTTAGACAAATGTAGAGGTAAATTATCAATAATTTTTCGCTAAAATAAAAATAATTAGTAAAATCCAACTTTGTGAATCATTTTGAGCAAATCTGATTTTGTGGAGAATAGTGTAATAAATATAAGTTAGGGATTTGGATGGTTTGTATGAGGTTATAGATTCAAACCTTAATGTCATTATTGTATAAAAATCATAATACAAGTTATGAGAAGTGAAAATATCATTGGTTTTATATGATTTTCTTAAATTAATCATATAAATATGTTTTTAAAGTGAAAAAATGGATTATAATTTATATAACCTTAAGGGTGCATTTGATTTGATATGTTTTTATTAATAATTATAAAAAGGTTACATTATTTTATTATGTTTCTTATATTTAAAACTTTGCAAAAAAAATAGTTAAAATAATATTTGCTTTCATTATTTCCTTTGTAAATTATTAAAACAAGAAATAAAATAAAAATAAATTAACGTAATATTTTTATATTTATTAATAAAAACATATTATTTTAACAATGACACTAAGAACAAATCAAATGAATTACCCTAACCATTTGCATGTAACGCTAGTTATCTATACCTGACATGGTAGTTTAGAAACACTTATTGCCATTGATCATACGTAATATACTCCATTTCCAAAATCCCACTTATTGTCATCAAGTAACTAACTAGTGAAACCACTTATGATACATGGTCTAATGTCCATATATATATATATATATATATATATATATATATATATATGTTAGGATCATTTTACACCAGTGTAAGTTACACTCTTAATCTTGTCCACTGATCCCATTTATATCTAAGGGCTCAAATTTTTTAGTAATGTGAGCCATTGGATACAAGTGGATCAATGGTCAAGATTGAGTGTAAGACTTCTAACTCTTACACCAGTGTAAGAATATCCTGCCCCATATATATATATATATATATATATGGGATAGGATCAACTTACACCGGTGTAAGAATAATAAATCTTACACCAAATCTTAACCGTTGATTTCCGTGCATCCAATGGTTGAGATTTATTGGGAATTAAAAATTAATTAATGAGTGAGACCTAATAAATCTTAACCGTTAGATGTAGAAAATCAATGATTAATATATATATATATATATATATATATATATATATATATATATATATATATATATATATATATATCTGCAGTTGCTATACGTGCAGCAATCAAATACTTGCCGTATATATATTTGAAAGCATTAAATGCGGGGAATCATAACCATACACCTGTCATTGCTGCATGTAAAGCGGCTGCAGAAATGATTTTACATATATATATATATATATATATATATATATATATATATATGGGGCAGAATCATCTTACATCGTTGAAAGAATAATAAGTCTTACACCAAATCTTAACCATTGGTTTTCTGCATCTAACGGTTAAGATTTATTAGGTCTCACTAATTAATTAATTTTTAATTTCTAATAAATCTCAACCATTACATGCACGGAAATCAATGGTTAATATTTGGTGTAAGATTTATTATTCTTACACTGGTGTAAGATGATCATGCCTCATATATATATATATATATTTATATATATATATATATATATATATATGAGGTAGGATCCTTTGACACCAGTGTCAAATTTTAAATTTGACACCTCATCTGATAGCCGTTAGATCAAAAAAGATCCAACGACTCTAATTTGCAAGCAAGTGATACCATTGATCTTTTTTTATCTAACGACTATCAGATGAGGTGTCAAATTTAAAATTTGACACTAATGTCAAAGGATCCTACCTCTCTCTCTCTATATATATATATATATATATATATATATATATATATATATATATATATATACATACATACATACACCCAATGGGTGCAGCTCAGTTGGTAACTTGGCGCTGAGTTAGTGGGGTTGGATATGTGTTCGATTCCCGCTGAATGCATTCCTGGGGAGGGGGCTGAACCTTTAGCCATCACTGTTCCCCCGCACTCCGGATTAATCTCATAGCCGGCTCAAAGAGTCGAAGCTCGTGGGGATACCGGAGGGAGCCAACTCGTCTCAAAGAGATAATTAGGGTTGGGTAACTCCAAATATATATATATATATATATATATATATATATATATATATATATATATATATATATACATACACACACACATATATATGGTAAAATCATTTTTTCGGCTGTTGGATGTCCAGCAATAAATCTTACACCGTTGATTGATTATGATTCCCCGCATTTAATGATTTCACCGACCTTTATATAGTTATAATTTCCCAAATCTATTTGCTGGACATCAAGCGACTAAAGAAAAGTAAAGCTATATATATATATATATAGGGTTTAGTGAGTATCAAGTGACTTAATGTAAATTAGGTCCAGTGCACTATATTCTCCCGCGAGAATATAGTGCACAAATTTTTTTGCCTATGTTCTCCGGGGAGAACACCTGCAGAACACTATTGTAATGTTTTTGCACTATATTCTTGCGGGAGAATATAGTCAAAATTCACTCACTGAAGAGTCCAGTGACTGAATTTTGGATTTTTCGATATATATATATATATATATATATATATATATATAGGGTCAGGATCATTTTACACCGGTGTAAGTTACACTCTCAATCCTGTCTGTTGATTCAACTTATATCTAAAGGCTCAAATTTTTTAAAAATGTGAGCCATTGGATAGAAGTGGATCAATGGTCAAGATTGAGTGTAAGACTTCTGACTCTTACACCGGTGTAAGAATATCCTGCCCCATATATATATATATATATATATATATATATATATATATATATATATATATATATATATATATATATATATATATATATATATATATATATGGGTTTAGTGAGTATCAAGTGACTTGATGTAAATTAGGTCCACTGCACTATATTCTCCCGCGAGAATATAGTGCACAAAATTTTTTGCCTATGTTCTCCCGGGAGAACACTGCAAAACACCATTGTAATGTTTTTGCACTATATTCTCGCGAGAGAATATAGTCAAAATTAGTGACTGAATTTTGGATTTTTCGTATATATATATATATATATTACAACTTGAATTGCAATATCATCCTTAGTTCTATACTTACTTGACCATTTATGATTGTATGTCCAACCACAAAGGCACAAAAATGTCGCCTATTTCCACTGTCACCAGGAAACACTTTTTATGGTAATCTTATTTACATCCATGACTGAATGTAACAATCATCTCAGTCATTGACCCATTTGTCCCAGCTAGCCCACCCCCCACTAACCACCTGCTGGTACACACCATCATAATAGCAACCTTGTCATTGTATAGATTAGTACCTATTAATTTATTTTGTTTTTAGAGTATTGTATAATTAAAATGCAATACAATTAACTTTTAGTTTAAAAAATTTGACAATAGAAAAATATAGCGAACTCACCATTAACACATTTAATTGCTACTTATTTTTAATGGTCTCTATCTTTATTCTGTATATTTACAAATATCTCACTCATTTTTTATTTTAGAAATTTAAATTTTTAATCATTACCTATTTCACCTTTTTATTTTTTCTAATAATATTTTCAAAATACGAGCAATATCAGATTTTATTATAATTAACAAGTGTCTGAACATTACACAATATTTTTGAATTCGGATCAAATATAAAAAATATGTAAAATTATAAGGAAGTATACATAATTAATTCAATTAAAATATAAAATGTACAGATTTTAAAAATGTCAAAATTATATAATTAATTTCAGATGAAGGTTATACTCACAACTCGTTGTTCCTTACAATCTCTTACAATCACTTTTATTATCGTTTGATCCAGTGGCGGAGCCAGCATGGCAAGTCAGCTAGTGACAAAAAATTCAGCTAGTGCCCAAATAGCTACGGTTATTTGGCTACGACCAAACGTGGCTAATTTTCGAAAAAAATTGAAACAGAATTTGCCACGTTCAAGTGTAGCTAAATGAACGTGGCTAATTAAGCCAGTGCCAAAGCAACTGCAGGTTACAACGTGGCTCCGCCACTGGTTTGATCAAAATCAAATCTATAGCTATAAAATAATATCAAATAAGAACCTTTAATTTGATTTTGATTCAACAATAACAAAAGAGGTTATAAGTATGACATCTCTCATTATTTCAAAAGGTTTAAATTCATTTTTAAAAAAAATTAAGAATTACACGTATCATTCTTTAAGGAGTGTAGACAAAGAGATTTAACTACTTTATAAAAGCACATTTTAATTTAATATACAGGAGTAATCAATAATTCCAATCATATTTTATATTATGTTATAACTCCGTGTAATGGCACATGATAATAATCTGGTTTCTTTATATATAATTAACTTTATCATTAAATAAACATGAAATCATATTATTTTCATTTATTAATCTTAATTATATTAGGATAATCTTACATCAAAATATATAAAATATCGGATAAAGATATTATGTAATTTTTAACTACAAATCCCAAGGGATGACATAGTTGATAAATGGAGAACAGTGACCATTGTGCCACTGTTCCAAGTCTTATTTGCCAAAATACCACGCCTACGCACCTTTTTTCCAAACTGCCACGCAGGCAAGTTCGCTGGGAGTAGTAGCGAACTAGGTGTGGTGATGTGTCAGCAGCCTGATGGTGCGCAAGTTCGCTACTGACACAGGCGAATTTGAGTGCAATAAATGCCTCACCTGCCAAGCCACGTGGCTTGCACGCATGGAAGGTCGCTGGCCACATCAGCGAACTCTGTGTAACGGCTAGCTTGCCACGTGGCTGACATGCACCAAGTTCGTTGGGGCTGGCAGCGAACTTGATGTAACGGCTAATTTTCCCATCCCTATATAAACCCCATCCCCCTCTCCCCTCCCTCTTTCTCTCTCATTTTTCTTCTCCCACTCTCATCCTTTCTTAGAGCCTGTTTGGATTCTCTTATTTCTAAGCTAGAAGCTACTTATAAACTAAACCTAAAAAAAAGAGCTTAAAAAAGAAGCTAGAAACTATTTGGAAATTACATAAAAAAGTTAGCTTAAAAATTACTCAAAAGCACATATCTCAAGAAAATTATTTCTCTCTCTCTATCTTTATCACTATTCATTTTAAAAAAAAAGCACACAATTCAAGAAAAATAGATAAGAGCTGAAAAAAAAGCTCCTTCTAGGAGCTTTTAGTTTTCAGCTTTTTTCTTCATTATAAAAAAAGAGCTTTTCCCAAAATCTGTTTGGCCTAGCTTATGCTTATAAGTAGCTTCTAGCTTAAAAAAGAGAGGATCCAAACAAGCACTTAATTTTCTTTCTCTCTCATTTGCATTCTTTGTCTTCATCTGAGGTTAGTCATTTATGATTTCATTACTTTTTTTTACAGTTTTTAATTGTTGTTACTTATATTATATATAGGATGAAACATTAGGTTAGATGACATATTATTTGCTTTATTATTTTAAATAGTTTAGTAATTGCATGTTAATATGTTAGTAGTTAAATATTTTATAGTTTAATTAATATATATAATAACTTTTTTTATATGCATTCTTTATTTAAAGGATTTAGTTTAGATAATTTTTATATTAGTGTTGTTATATTTTGTATTTAATGATTTGTTAATTATGCAATAAATAATAATACTGAATTAAAAAAAATTATTTAGTTCTAGGATTGAAAAATAGGTTAGAAAATTTTGACATTGGCTTATAATATGTATGATAATCTTATTAGGTGTAGTAATTTATATTAATGTATTATTTAATAATAGCCTTTTGTTTGATATTATTTATAGTGTTGAATTGTAGATTAAAAAATATATATTCTAATGGTATTAGTTTTTGTATTTAATAAATTCTTGATCATGCAATAATCAAAATATTTGAATTAATTAACATTATTTAGTTATAGGATTGAAAAGTAGGTTACAATAATTTTGACAATAATGTATGTATTTATTTATTTATTTATTAGTAATTAGTATTTATTTTTAGATATTATATGATTTTTGTATAATATAATATAATATATATATCTTTGTATGCAAGTATTTATTTTGTAAATATAATATAATATAATTTAGATTATAATATATTATATTAAATAACAATATTGATTTATTTATTTCTTAGTAATTAGTATTTAATTTTATATATTATTTAAATTTTGTATAACATCATATATTATTGTTTTATGTAATTTAATATATTATATCATTTTTGTATTACACAATTAATCTTGTTAAATTATTGTATTTTATAATTTTTATTATGCAATTGTTGTTACTAATAATCAAATAACATTATTTTGTTATAGGTTTGTAAATACCATTGTAGAATTTTCTTTGTGTTATATTATTTGTTGATTAGGCATTATTATCCAAATTTTAGTATGTCATTACTAATGTAAGTGTTATTAATTGTTGTAAGTATATTAATGTGGTTATTATTTATTATTTAGTATGTAATATTCAATTATATATGAATTAATGAATAATTAAATAATGTTGAATATTTATTCATTTCTTAGTATTTATTTATTTATTTGTTGTAAATAGATCCATGGAGCAGCAAGATCCGCACGAGACTTTCATTGACCCTGGTCCATTCTCGCGCTCTATCCTGACGTTGCAGGACAAACACATCTCCACGCATGTGTGGAACGCATCAAATGACGCAAATGTGCGTGATCGTGTCCTCAATGTCAGACACGCTGCGTCACACGATCATTTGGATATACTCGAGGATATCCACCCTTACCTTAGGCAGGCAGGGTTTTATCACGTTGCGCGTCTGCGCAACCATGAGGTTATTGATACGTTGACTTTATAATAGGTGAAATTACATGTTGTATGTTTAATAGATTGTTATTTAATGTAATTTTTTTTTTTCAGATTGATCACTCACTCATCTCGGCCCTTGTTGAGAGATGGCGGCCTGAGACGCGCACATTCCATATGTCGATGGGTGAGGTTACGATTACCCTGGAGGATGTCCACCATCTGCTGGGATTGCCCACAGATGGAGAGGTTGTATGTGGCCGCGTTGGAGGCATCCCTTATCGCAGCTGGTTAGAGATTTCTTGGGGGTAGAGCCGAAGCGAGCGCACGACATGTATAAGAACCAAATTTCTCTGACATTTCTGAGGGAACAGTTTCTGTATTACCATCAACATGCTGGCATTGAACTTGGCCGTATGAGATACACACGTGCTTTGATCTTGTGCATTCTGGGTTGTTGCTTGTTCGTTGAGACTGCATCGAGCTTTGTACATGCGCGGTATCTACTATTTCTGGATGATTTTCAGCGGACGGGGACGTATTCTTGGGGTTCTGCTGTACTGGCTACCTTGTACAGGGAGTTGTGCAAGGTTACTGAGCCAGGACGATCTGATATGGGGGGATGTGCTCTGTTACTACAGTTGTGGGCATGGACGCGTTTCCCTACTATCTCACCCGCACTCCCTGCAATCACTGACGCGGAGGCTATTTTTGGGGCCAGGTGTGTGCCTTTTGAAAGTTTTTATGTTTTCTTGCATATAATCCAACCATCTCGGCAGGAATGCGTACGACTCATCCCAATCCCCAAAACCCTCACAACTGCCTTCTGCTTTGCTTTCCAGGCCTTTCTGTATGATATATGAAATCCTAGACACGATGCAATCCTTTCCTGGATTAAGCCAATCTTTACGCTAGGCTCTTCACGCACCATTTCTGCGGTTTAAGAAACAACACCATATTAGTGTTACGAAAACGGTATTTATTGAAACATAGAGAGTCTGGTTGACTTACCGATGATCAATGAACAAATGAAACTAGAGTTAAGTTGTTTGTGATCCTGTGAAAGTATCTGACTAACACATGTATGGATGTTGTTCCATATGCCTATGATCCATTCATGACCGCCTTTTTTAATATATGCCCGCATTCTCCATGGACAACCGTCATTGTGATTTTGACAAATCATTATCAGCCTTTTCGTATCACTTTTTAGCACGACAGTTGTGCGATTCTTTGCCATACAGTATTGTTTGATGGCCATTTGTACATCCTGTTTGCTTTCAAACTGCTGGTCCTTATAGAGTTCTTGACCCATTTGCCAACTTGGTACTTGTGCCCCTTGCATGTCATCAATTTCTTGATCGGGGTGTGCCCAGTTAATGTTCGTGTAAAGTGGTATTTGCGCCCAAAATGGTACACTATCCTCCCATGTTTGACACAAGTTCAAATTTCATTACTAATACCATTTCAAAAAACAAATTAAAAACAAACGGTAAATAACCTTACCTGGCACACATGGTTGGTCATGCGTACCAACAATGCCCGGTGATGGAATCAGTTCAAACAATGCAGTAGACGGCTCTATTTCGAAATCACCAACAACGTCTGAATCCGATGAATCACTGTCAGAGACAAGCCCTTCATCAACATCTTCCTCTGAACTCTCAGTACGCCATGACAGATCATACATGTCAT